TCTCTCTCTCTCTCTCTCTCTCTCTCTCTCTCTCTCTCTCTCTCTCTCTCTCTCTCTCTCTCTCTCTCTCTCTCTCTCGTGCGCTCTCTCTCTCTCTCTCTCACACACACACACACACCCCTCCAACCGCGATTCTCCCCCCCACCCACATTGCCAATCAACCATTCCATCACGAATAAATTTGAAATTTTGACAACAAAAGGTGGGGGGGAGAATCGCGATTCTCCTCCCCACCCTCATTGCCAATCAACCATTCCAACAAGTGTTAATCGATCCACAAATACACAAGGGCGAAATTTCAAAGAAAAAAGGTGGGGGGAGAGAATCACGATTCTCCCTCCACCCGCATTGACAATCAACGATTCCATCAAGTGTTATTCGATACACAAATAAAGTTGAAATTTTGAAAAAAAACGGTGGGGGGAAAATTGTGATTCTTCCCCCCCCCGCCTCCACTGTCAATCAACCACTCCAACAACTGGCAACTGCTACTACTGATCGATCGATTGACGAAAAAAAGTTGAAATTTCAACCAAAAAAAAGGTGGGGGGGAGAATCGCGATTCTCCCCCCCACCCTCATTGCGAATCAACCACTCCAACAAGTGCTACTACTGATCGATCGATCCACGAATAAAGTTGAAATTTCCAAAACAAAAGGTGGGGGGGGAGAATCACGATTTTCCCCCCTACCTACATTGTCAATCAACCATTCCAACAAGTGCTACTACCGATCGATCGATCAACCAAAAAAATTGAAATTTCGAAAAAAAAAAGGTGGGCAGGAGAATCGTGATTATCCCCCCCCACCCTCATTGCCAATCAACCATTCCATCAAGTGTTAATCGATCCACGAATAAAATTGAAATTATAAAAAAAAAAGGTGATTCTCCCCCTCACCTTCATTGCCAATCAAGCACTTCAACAAGTGCTACTACCGATTGATCGATCCACGAATAAAATTGAAATTATAAAAAAAAAAGCCGCGCGGGAGAATCGCGATTATCCCCCCCACCCGCATTGCAAATCAACCACTCCAACAAGTGCTACTACCGATCAATCGATCCACGAATAAAGTTGGAATTTCGAAAACAAAAGGTGGAGGGGGAGAATCACGATTCTCCCCCCCACCCTCATTGCCAATCAACCATTCCAACAAGTGTTAATTGATCCACGAATACACAAGGGTGAAATTTAGAAGAAAAAAGGTGGGGGGGAGAATCGTGATTCCCCCCCTCCCACCCTCATTGCCAGCAACCATTCCATCAAGTGTTACTACCGATCGATCGATCCACGAATATACAAGGGCAAAATTAAAAAAAAAAAGGTGGGGGAGGAGATTAAGGAGAATCATGATTCTCCCCCCCGCCCTCATTGTCAATCAACCATTCCATCAAGTGTTAATCGATCCACGAATGAAGTTGAAGTTTTGAAAAAAAAAAGGCGGGGGGAAGAATTGTGATTCTCCTCCTCACCTGCATTGCCAATCAACCTATCCAACAAGTGTCACTACCGATCGATCCATCCACGAATAAAGTTGAAATTTCAAAAAACAAGAAAGGTGGGGGGGAGAATCGTGATTCTCCCCCCCACCCTCGTTGCCAATCAACCACCCCAACAAGTGTTACTACCGATCGATCGATCCACAGATAAAATTGAAATTTCAAAAAAAAAAAGGTGGAGAATCGCGATTCTCCCCCCCACCCGCATTGCCAATCAACCACTCCAATAAGTGCTACTACTGATCGATCGATCCTCGAATAAAGTTGAAATTTCGAAAACAAAAGGTGGGGGGGGGAAATTGCGATTCTCCCCCCCACCCTCATTGCCAATCAACCATTCCAACAAGTGTTGATCGATCCATGAATACACAAGGGCAAAATTTCGAAAAAAAAGGTGGGGGGAGAATCGGGATTCTCCCCCCAACCCTCATTGCCAATCAACCATTCCATCAAGTGTTACTACCGATCGATCGATCTGAAACGTTTTTCACCTTTTAGCAATGGCGGATGCAGTACCCAGGGTTTGATCCCTAGACCTCACCCTACCCATGTACAGTATCTGTGTAGACCCCGAGAATTGGACCTGTGACCTGTGTATACGTAGGCAGTTGGTAGGCCTGTCGTAGGTCCATAGGCAGCAGGGGTTCGATCTGTAGGTCTATAGCGTAGGAGTCTTAGTGAGTTCCGGAAGCTTAGCTGTAGACCTTCTAGAAGGTAGGCAAGTGGGCAAGTGGTCAAGTGGAGAGGCAAGTGGTGGACTAAACCGCAGTGCAACAGCAGTACAACGTCGGTAGGATAGCGGTAAGTCCACAGTCAGTCAGCGGAAGGTCCAGTCAGTCCCAGTCCGGTCGAGCAAGTACCATAGGGGGACTGCGAGCACCACGGGCCGATGGCAAAGGGCAGACTAACGAGTTTCTGAAGTATAAATCAAGAGGCAGCGCCCAGCCATTCATTCATTCCTGCGTGAGCCATGCGGAAGCGCTGCCACAGCGACTTGTGCAAGGAGGTCTGCGGATGAGCCCGGTGGACGCAGTGGGCAAGAGAGAGGGAGTTAGCATAGCGATAGGGTAGATGCAGCGACAGCTGCCATAGCTGTAGTTAGTAGTGAGTGTGTGTGTGCGTGTGTGTTCGAGTGTTAGAGTGATGCGTGTGGGATATCCAGGGTGATCCAGTGTATGTGAACAGTGAGATGTTTTGGGCGCTGAAGTCGCCATAGCCAATTGAGAGTGAACTCGTATCTGAAAGCCATATCTCCGAGTTTTGAGTGGGCGCATGTCGCCAGTATGCTGCGTTGCTGTTTACATGCATGAAAAGTGTGTTTGAGAATGAGTCTGATTGCATTGGTATCGGAGCTGGTACCCGCTATTCCATGCGCGCCGTCGTATGCAGGGCCTGATGCACCATAGTCACAGACCTGAGATTGAAGAAGCCGCCGCGCACCTGCAAGAAGAGCACGACGAAGAAGAAGACCGATACACAGAGAGAGAGAGAGAGAGAGAGAGAGAGAGAGAGAGAGAGAGAGAGAGAGAGAGAGAGAGAGA